ACATTGTACTTTTCTTCAGGACAGCTAAATTAAATGTCATATGTTGATCTCTTGGGTGTTCTCAGTTTACGAGAAATGGATTTTCTCCATTTATCAATTTCCTTTTATACAAAGAGACACTAATGGGTAACTTCATTTTGTAAGTCACATTTTGAAGATATACAAGTGCAGGTTTGGTCAGCACATGCTCATTAGAGTTATTTATTTCCTCTGTAGAGGAAGAGATACCTCAGGGCTTCTGAAAAACAGGCTTTCATTTTTTATAGAGGAGAAACTTCCAGGACATGCCGTGGGCATGGGCTCTTTCAAGTCCTGTTCCTTCCCCCATTACTTACGTGCCAATGAACTACATTTGAAGAGGGTAAGTAGCAGCAGAACAAGGTTCCCCACAAGGGGATTTTGAGATGCTCTGAAAACCAGACTGATATAATCTGTGGAAGAGTCCCTCCTTGCAGGCTGTCACGTCTCACAGTGGGAGTCGCAGGCTGGTCTGCTTGGCGAACTGCTTCTCTTGATCTACAACGGAAGCTGGGCTTCTTTTAGAAGTGAATCTTGTCTTGTCATACCCTATGTGTTTCTCAGCCTCAGGAGCTCCTGAGGATTTAGACTAGCTCCTAGCTTCATGGATTTAGACTAATCTTGTCTTATCATAATAACGTCACCTCAGATTCTTAGGAAGCACCCCACTTCTGATGCCATCGTTCATCCATTCCTGAAATTGAGTTAAATGCTCTTGGCTGATTTGCTCCTTACAGTTAGTATGAAATATTTTGGTGGGACTTTGGAAATGAGGCCCTGACCACGATGCATAATGACCTCAGTAGACAATGAAGGGTTCCTTTGCTTCAGGCAGGTGACAAGTGTCTATCTAATCTTCAGAGTCCACATAGATCTGTACCAGATTGTAGGTGGACAAATCACATTTTCCCTGGGTCACATGGCAAGTCTTTTCCACTTCGTAGTCATGCTAGTGAGAGACCCACAGGTACCACATGATCAGCCAGTCATTGAGATTCAGGCACCATCTTAGTGCTTTAGCAAAAATATCACTGGAGCCATCAAAGTACATAATTTTATTTCTGACACAAATAGTGGATTGGTTGATTAGCCCAATTGAGTTGTTCCCATAGGAAAAGATAGTGACTTTATTCTCATGGAGATGTCAGCATAAACTTCTTCTAGCCTCTTGCAGCACTGCTTGGAACTGCATTGAGTATCCCCCCAGAGGCCTTCAAAGTTCAGACTCACACCACCAAAACTTGAAGCACGTATGTTTGCATGGAAGTCAGGCTCCAGAGTCCCCCTGTTGTAACGTCTCTGTGATGAGCAGTCAGTGCATGCCTCCTCCACAGCCCCTAAAGGAAAACACGCGGAGACGCACACACAGAGTGAGGACTGAATTGAGAGTTTGGGGTGTGCACCATCCCCATGGGCACAGTGTACGGCTCCTAATGTGTCCTGCACAGCAAGCATTGTACTGTCCACAGGTCATAATTGCTAGTTAGAAATAACAGGAGATCCAGTGAGAAGATGCTGAGAAAAATACACTCTTGATGGAAGAGTTAATCACGAGCTCCTTATGGGAAAATGTGGGAGACTGTTGAAAAGGAACAAGAAGAAAGGAGAATTGTTAAGACGCCACTTTCTCAGTTTCTGAGCTGAACTTTTGCTAGCAGCAGGTGCCGGCGTGCTTCCTCCCACATGGAGGGCCCCCCCTGCCGGCGTGCAGTCTGTTAAGTAAACAGAGACTTTATGCTGAGAAAGGAACATTTCTCTATTTTGGCTATGAGTTATTTTTAAAGCTTCATCTTCCAAACATTTTCTTCTATCCTTGTTTATTTTTTCACTAGACAGAAGATATACTACTTTAAAAAAAAATTCAACCACAGGAGAACAAAAATCCATTTCTGTACGCTTTCCCCACATAAGACCAACTGACCTTTTGGTGGGACTACTCTCTCATTCCCATGTTGAGCGGTGTAGCTTTTGAAGTTTCTTCTCTGCTTATGGAGAGCTTCCATGAATCCGTATTTCCACAGTCAAAGCAAAATGTGTGTGGCAATTGTTTTCTGGATATTTTAAGTTAAAAGGCCAACTTCTCCCTTGACGTATATATATGTTTCTATTTATCAATATTTTTATAACTAATGCTTCAAAGTAGTCCCTACTGCGTATCACGCTCCATTCTCATCACTTTACAGAAAAGTTCGTTTGACTATACTTGGGAATACTATGATAATTGCTTCAATATTGACACAGGTTGAATTTGGAGAGATGGGCATTAGATGCAAGAGGCTTTTTTTTTTTAATACCTTTTCTGGGGAATGTATCCCATTGTTTTGTACCTGCCTTTATCTTTGTCTCTCTTGCTCCCATTCTAGATCTCCTTATTAACAATGCCCATGACTTTCTTCTCTGTAACTTTATGTTGAGCACAAGTACTGGTATGTAATAGGCCCTCTAACTCCTGTTCAGTGAATTAAAGTGGACTAAGAATGGAAGATAAAAATTCTTGTTGGTAGGCAATGTGGTTTGACTTAACAGTTGAGTCCTAATTTTTTTTCATTTGGAAAATGGGAACAATAATGCTAAACATAGAGGTCAGTTGTAAGAAGTAAATGAACATATCAAAAGTACCAAGCATATTTCAAGTCAATGTGAAAAAGGTGGTGTGTTCCATAAGTGATGTTAAGAAAACTAAGTAGCTTCCTGGAAAAAATATTAAGCTGAATTCCTGTCTTATAGCTTACACAAAAATAAATCCCAAATGATGATTGTACAACTCTGTGAATATAGTAGAATTTGTTGACTTTTACTCTTTAAATGGGTGAATTATATGGCATATGATTATATCTCAGTAAAGTTGTCATAAAAATGAATAAATCACAGATTTAAACATAAAAATGTGAATGTATACTAGAAGAAAACATAAGATAATTTTTTATGTGTTATTGGAAGGGGAGTGATCTTTTCAAGCAAGATATACTGTTCTGGAGCCATAAATGAAAAGTTGGATAAATTTAATTCTCTAACAATTAAATATTTAGCAGAAGAAAATACCAGAAACAAAATCAAAAGAAAAACATAATAAACTATGATAAAACATTAAAAATACATATGGCAAAGAGCTAATTCCTTTAATATATAAAGAGCTCTTAAGAAGCAATGTGAAAATGGTTGGGTATGATGGCTCACACCTATAATCCCAGAGCTTTAGGAGGCCAAGTTAGAACAATCACTTGAGGCCAGGAGTTCAAGACTAGTCTGAGCAATATAGGGAGACCTTGTCTCTAAAAAAACATTTAAAAATTAGTTGAGTGTATTGGTATCCACCTGTATTCCCAGCTATTTGGGAGGCTGAGGCAGGTGATCACTTGAGCCCAGGAGTTTGAAGTTATAGTGAGCTATGACTAGTCCACTGCACTCCAGCCTGGGCGACAGAGTGAGACCCCATCTTTAAAAAAAAGAAAAAAGAAATCAATCAATCAATCAATGTGAAAATGACCAATAACCCAATAGAAAAATATGGGCAAAAGATAAGAACAGGCAGCTCACAGAAGCTTATGCCAATATATGCCACCAACAATAGTCTGTTGGTATAAGCTCTTTGAAAGCAATGTTTTAACTATCTATCAGAATTAAAAATATATAAGTTCTTTGATCTAGCAAGTCTACTTCTAGGAATTTTTTTTATAGCTATCTGTAAATTTGTCCAAAGACATAAACATAAGGATAGTCATTGAATGGAATGTTTGTAACTGCCAAATACTTGAAATCAAACTAAATGTCAATCAATAAAGATTAAATAAAGATGGTTAAATAAATTATAGCATTTTGTTCAGCTGTTAAAAACATTTGATGAAGTATTCCAAGATATATTAAATAAAAACAAAACAAAGTACAAAACAATGCATTTAGTGTTCGTGTTTAAATGTTTATACATTTCACAAATATGTTTGCATGAACATAGACTATTTTAACTTTTTCCTGACCCCCTCAAACACATCATGCCCAAAATTCAAGTTGTGAACAAAAATTGAATGAATTCCTTTCACATGTAGTATCATGTAAATTCTGTAATAACCCTATAAAAAGATACTGACACCTGCATTTTTAAATATTACATATTATGAACCTTTGGGTTTGCTTATTTAATAGGTTCAACTACTAATGTTAAACTCTTGATGCCAAGGGAAAAAGCATGAACTTTCTATAATGATGTAGGACATCCTTAATCACCTAAAATTTTCCTATTTTTCCAGATTTATCTCCTGTCTCCTCACCTCCAACACACTGTTCCATGTTCTTCCATGCTGCTCTTTCTTTCCATGTGTAGGATCCTCTTTCAAGGGTGTGTTCACACCTCTGCTTGATGAAATTCTACATTCTCTTAATGTGTCAACTCAAATGCCACCTCCTAGCAATGTTCTTACCTACCATCCTCTGCGACACCAATGGGCCCAGCCCAACCATCCATAGTTACCATAGTTTTTCTTGTACTTCAAAAGCACCTTGATACTTACCCCGACGTGTTATGAAAAAAAAAAAAAAAAAAGCACCTTGAAACACACCTATTAGGACATGTTATATTTATTAGTCAAAGGCCATGAGCATCTTGAGAACAGAGGCCCTGTTTTTATTTCCATAACTAATCACAATGCCCAGAATACAGATCAATAAATATTTATTAGAAAAATCATTTACCTGAACCCTAATCATTTTCAATTACATGTAGGTTGAAGAGCTTTATATTTCTAACATGGCAGACTTGGGGATTGAACAGAACATCTCTTATAAGAATTTGAAATGAGAATATTTTATTGATGGAAAACCATTTTTTGTCTTGCCTTCTAGAATTCAAATCAATGTTCGTGCTCCATGAAAAGAATGAGCAGCAGTTTTTGTTACTGATTTGGAGGCAGTAGATATTTATGACTTTATCATGTCTTGTGGAAGCTTTTCTGTCCTTTAACCCTTTTTTCTGGGCTGTGTTTTCATAGGAACCAGGGGAAATGTGTAGAGGGCATGGTGGAGATCTTTGACATGTTGCTGGCCACATCGTCTCGGTTCCGTATGATGAATCTACAGGGAGAGGAGTTTGTGTGCCTCAAATCTATCATTTTGCTTAATTCTGGTGAGTTGATAACATGAGAGAACTTGGATTCTGGATGAAATATTTATTTGTATTTTCAACCAGATACAATCTACCCGCTACCCAGGACATAATGTCATAAATGGAAAGAAACTACTGGCACATATTTAAAATAATCTATCATCATTATAGATTGCTTAGCGTAGTAGAACTGTGTTTGCCAAATAGTTGAATGAAAAAAAATCATCATTGGAAATTAAACCAAATGGCCTTTTTGTTGAAATATTTGTATGTTTTCAAAGATATGGGGATGTTTTTATTAAAATGGTAAATGTATATAGACGCATGTCTGTTGCTAGTTATTTGTCTAGAGAGTTATTTGAGACAAACCATGTTTCTAATCAAAACTGTTAGCTAAAAAATTTAATTGGCTTAGAGATAGAAAAACCTGGCCCTAAAACGAAGAAGCATGAAATACGGTAAAATTGATCCAGCTGAAAGAGCATTTTCCATTTGGTCAATGGAGTCTAATTCCACTGTCCCCTCCTATTTATTCATTCGAGAAAGCTTAGCTAAGAGCAGCATCTTTTTTTTTTTTTTTTTTTTTTTTTGTAGTGAGGTTGGCTGTTGTATAAAGAGTCACTCCAGGTCACCCAGATGGAAACTATGGTTCAGCCAGAATTAGCACCCTGGCTCCTCCCAGGCCCTCAGTATTTGGATCTAAGCACTAGCTCCACAGCCTGTGGGACCTGCAGCTCACAAATGGGTGTCAGCTGTGCAGGAGATGCCCTTCACTTGGACCTTCCCCCTCCTCCAGCCCCACTTCATGCCTCATCCCACATAGAAATTGTAGCTATTTTGAAGCCCTAGGCCCAATTTAGTTTCTTACACCATCAGACACAGTCTCAGATTCCTCAGTAGCTGAACTGCAGTGGCACTGGTCACCCACGGAGAATCAGCACTTCCTTCCCTTTTCACTGGTTTCTGTGTCTTCCTTTGGCATGCCAATCCCTTCCCACCCCCCCTGACAATTTTCCACTTCTCTTCCCCACCGATGCTAGTAACCTGTGCGGCTTAATGGTTATCACCGTAATCATTCTCACTTATCAACCGTTAAAGGAAATCTGTACTATTACACTAGGCAAGGGCTGAATGACAGAATGAAGTCCCAGGAAAAATAATGGGACGTACACTAAGGAAGTGATTACCACCGCATTCAAGTTTCTGGGCCCACTCACAGGCATTGTGCTTTTCATTTCGCTCGTTTGTCCTGTACGTTGAAGGGTCCAGATCCCACAATGGCTCTTTACAGGACGAGTGTTCTGGGAGCAGTGCCACTCGGCTGCACGGTGCCAGGTCCCGAACCTGCTCCTTCTTCGGTGGAGGGCTGGCACGTGCCGACGGCTATCACGTGGGCAGTCTGGTAACTTCAGGGAAAGCAGGACTATCACGGGCTGGGACTTGCTTTTCCTACTTTCACCAGGAAAAAGGTGTCCCACACAGGAAGTGAGATCAGCCTGAGTTGTATAATCAACACACATGGATGCTCTGCTCTTGATAATCAAGAGTATTTCCTTCAGATCCATAAAACCTTTTCCTGCATTATTGTTCTGTTTCTGTTCCTATTTTAGGGTGGTTTTTTTTTTTAAATCATATAAAAAAAAAGTCAAGACTTTTGCTATCAAAACATTGGATTCATAGATCCAGGGTTTTTTTTGCAACTCAGGGGGAAAAACCTTCCAGCCCTCACAAGAAAGTCTTTTATTAAAGACTGGCACTGGAACCTCAAGCTGTACTGCCCAGGCCAGGATTTGGCCTCCCTCTGCCTCCTTCTCACACTAGTTACACTTTCGTGCCCTCTCCTTCCTTTCAGAGAATCTTCCACACACTTCCTTGCTCTTGAAGGGCTGGAGCACTGTTTTGGAAACACGAGGCACTGTACACTGACAGAGTTTGCAGTTGTCTTTTTCATGAGCTAACAGGCGGCAGCTCGACTTTTCCATCAAAGACGGTGCTGCTGGCTTAGGAGAGCAGTAACCACACAGAAGCAGCCTCTCAACCCTGTGCAAAGTGAAACCACTCTTTTCACTACAAAATTGAGCTACATTTTAGAAAAGCAGGTCTGCCACTGAGCATGGCTCCTAGTGTCTCATACTGTTCCTAAAAAACCAAATCAAAGAGGACAAGGCTCTGAAACACAATGGCATGGTGCTAGGAGCCTTTTTCGGAGAAAGAGAGCAATCAGTCAGATGAAGAATACCACACTCAACATGTTTTTCCCACAACCAAAGATATGGAATTTCCTAAACACTCAACCAGTGCACGGCTCTGATCTGGGGAAAGTCTTTGCCTACCATGAGGCAAATTACAAAGTCACTCTGACTCCAGGAATCTCTGGTAGAAGCCAAGCTGGAAGCAATTCAGGAAACCTGAGCTAGAAGACGCCTTTCTGACACCCAGGAAACAAAACTTCACTGTTGGCGGGCCCTAAGGTTTTGTGTTGAACCCCAGTGGCCAAAGTCAGAGGAGGTTGGCTTTATAGTGACCCTTATTTGGGGGTTGAGGCACGAGGGGAATTGAAAGGTTGTTGTGAGGACCTGCTAGGAATGTCTTTCTGGAAGTCCTGAGAGGGTCTCCCAAATGCCAAAATTTCCGTGGGAAGCCCTCTTCACAGCTATTTGGGAGGGGGAGATATTTGTCATCATTTCTGCCTCATTTGGAATAATTTATTGCTTTGCTTGCAGAAGCCTAGATTCCTCCATAGGACAAATACTGTTTGTTTTTCCACACCACATCAAAGGACAGAGGCACTCCTGATTAATCCAGAGGTGCCAACTTCAAGGCATTCTGAGAACTAGCTGGACAGAGCTCAAGAGGAGGGCAAATAAGATCAGAGCAGATGAGCTGAGGGCAAAAGCCGGTGGGGCGGCAGCAGCGGAGGACGGCTGGGAGCTGCAGCAGCAAAGGGGGCCGAGGAGGAGGCTGTGGGCCTGTGGGTCGTAGGCTTCTATCCAGTGGAACTTCAGCTTTCCTTCACAATTCAGATATTTCCAATTCTTCTAGGCCTAGCTCACTTTATTCAGGAAGTCTTGCTGCTACCCAAGTCTGTTATGAATTTTTTCCTCTAGACTTTTTTTGATTCTTAAAGTCAATATCACACAATCCAGCATTCGGTTACTTGGTCGACTGATTTCATTCATTTATTCAATAATTGAACATTTACTGAGTTCCTACTACGAACTTTGTGCCAAAGATACAAAAAATGAATGTCACAGTTTTGTGCTTTTATTTTTCCTTTAAGTTTCTTTTTTTTTTTAAATTTCAACCTGGAATCTTCTCTGGTTCTTTATGGATGTGTTTCCTAATTTCCTTATAAACTATTTATATTTTTTTGTATTCCTCACAGTCTTTAGCCTGTCGACTGCCAACAGATATTACACCACTCAGTCTTTTGATAGATGCTCATTTGCTGGACATAGCCAGAAGGACCTAGAAAGTCCTTATTCTTCTCATGCTCTTCCTACCGTTTTGAAACATATCATCCTTTTCAGTGCTCTACAGATCTAGATAATATCAAATTATTAAGTGGAAAAAATAATACCCATCTCCTTGGGCTATTGTGGGTAAAGGGGAAATTTCGTACAAAGTGTCTAATGCAGTTCATGGAACACATTAGGCCTTTTACTCAAGGACAGCAGCATCCTCGCTGATGAGAATCTCTCGCTTAAACTGAGTGGGTTCATGTCTTTTTCCAATATCATTAAGTGCTTTAGTTTAAAACCCTCCAGCTAGACTTACAAAAAAACAGTGGAGACTCAAAGGTAACAACAACAAGAGAGAATAGTCTATGGCCATTATCCTGAGACTTTGTTAATTGTGCTACTTAATCATGTTTAGAAAGATTCTAGAGCAAGATTTCTCTCTGGGATGACAACTGATTGTGATTTGAACCTTAATGTTGAAAGACCTTGATGCAAACTTCGTGGCGAACCACTGCAGAATTATCGGCGTGCTTCTTCTTAGCTTCGAAATTCGTAGCCCAGAAAATTACTCTTTCAGTGCATGTTTTTCAAGGCTCAGAAAGATTCATGTGTCAAAGCTTTATATGTGTAAATCAACAACCTCTAATAAACAGTTTAGCCTTCAAATTCAATTGAATAATTATTTTATCCTTTTTCTGGCGACTTGGTCCAATCAGCTCCCTGGAGAGCTGGTCAGACCCTCATCCCAGCCCCTGTCCTCTTTGTTTAACCATAGGTCCTCTCCCTTCTCCTGACCCACAAGCCAACTCCAGTTTCCCAGAAGCCTTCACAGTGCCTGCCAGGTCCCCGCAGGACCGCTGGTTACTCCTCAGATACCTTATGCTGTTGAACTGTTGCTGTAGCCTTAATTACCTGTTCATCCCAAACCGATCTTCAGACAGCATTTCCCTTTCAACTGATGGACTAAGAAAGAGGAATAATTCACAGACCCTTACAAATCGGAGGCGAAAAGTTAAGGGAAAATAGGATACTAGAAAGCATTATGGCAACATCTCTGAAGAATGTGCCCTGGTTGTTCACTTGGTGAACAAGGGATATGGAATGTCCAGCGAGAATAGTATATATTACATATAAACATAAAACATGCCAGCTGCCACCTGTCATCTAGGTCTGCTTGGCTACCGTGGTGTGTCTTGTCATCGTGGTACCCTCATGAAACATATGGTGCTGGAGCAAGTGATGTCCTGTGTTCATCCTGTGGCCACACATGAATTATTTCATCATTAATTTTAATAAATTCTCATCACAAAGAATCTTTTTCTTCTCTGGATCTGGGTTATTTGCGCTCACTTCATGTTATTAACAATTTACTCAGAACATTTCTATTTTTAAGTTTAGAAATAAGACAATGATTCAGAGTCTCTATATTTAGATGAAAGAACATTTTTAACACATATTGACTGTAAACACTGAGGATCATTAATTCTTAGCAGTTGAGGGTTTCTGACAAGAACAGGCCTTGGAAGCAAGTGGGCATATTGTCAGGTATGTGCACTATTG